CCCCAAAACCCCAAAACCCCAAAACCCCAAAACCCCAAAACCCCAAAACCCCATTTTGGGAATATGTGTTGAAAACTAAGGTTAGTAGGATTGGAGTTTTAAGACTTTTTAGGCAACAATAGGGATTTAGGTTCTTCTGAGTCGACTGTCTTGTTGATGCGTTCAAAGCTTTCGACTTGTTGTTCCTTGAGAACAATCTTCTTAGGAGGAGGCTTAGGCATTAAGAAGTGCTTCTCAAGGTTCATGAAAGGGACTTCTGCATACATGCTGAATGGGATTGCGAACAAGAATGAGATAGGAGCTATACCGAGTACAAGCCACCAAGCGTTGAGGTTCGAAACCCACATTCCTTGTCTTGAATCTGCCAAAAGCATAATAATCCATGGAATGTGCATCAAGTAAACACCAAATGTGATCCTTCCAAGTACGATCATTGTGTTGTTCCCAAGCAAATGCTTGATCCATGGTAACCTTCCTTGGAAAGTAGGGATAATTATTAGTATCAAACCAAGGACAAAGAATGATCTACCGAAAGCATTATAGAGCATGTTTGAAGTTTTTGACCAAGGATTAGAGTTCAATTTCTCTTTGTAGAAACTTATTTGGATAAACACAAAGAATGATGTCAAAAACAAGCCAGAGAAGAAGTAAAAGTAAGTTATCAATGTTGAGTACTTTGGAGCCATCATGATCTTTGTTGAAAGGGAAGGTCTAATTTCTTCTAAGTTCTCATCAGCCATCTTTTTCTTATCTTGCTTGTACTCATAATACATGAACCCAAAAATAGCTCCAACTCCATAAGCAGCGAATCTACTCCATGGCTTCATATAAACAAGGTCGAAAAAGTCACCTCCTCCACTCAAGGTGAACATAATGCCAAGATCATTTTGAGCAGTAAGGACCATATTTACAATATAATTCACAAGCATCAAGATGGCTACCAAAGCATATCCAACTATTTTATTCCGACAATAGAAAAAGATAATAATTGGAGAGATCAGGAAAAACTCAAAGTCATTGGCCAAGTACCAGAACCAGGACATGCACATAAGCCCAGTGTTCCACGGAACTAAGTTATTAATGAAGATCAAACTAGACCACCAATACTTTTCGCAGTTCATATTCCATGATTGTTGGAAGGAAGGGCCACTTCCAAGATGCTTGAAAACAAAGTTTGTCAACAGAATACAAAAAGCAGCAGGAGTGAACAGTCTAAACCATCTGTGGAAGTAGACCATTGGGAAGTTAGTCCACCCTTTCTTTGGGTACATTTTTACTGTTAAGAGATAAAAGGTTAAGAAACCTGACATCATAAAGAACACATCAACTGCAAAGAATCCTCCTGGGACTATGACAAAGTACCACGTTGTCATCATATTTTGCATAGATAAAATGTTTGACATTGGGGCTCCAGATCCTATCATGAATACATGGCCTGCAATAACCCAGCAAATACTGAACACTCTAATTCCGTTTAGAATCGCCAGGTCATCGTCTCCCTGGCTGCTTACATGAAATAATTTCTGAAGATTAGTTTTGAAAGAGAACGAGTGAAGAGCAAGCCCAAGTTTATTGATTTTCTTTTCTGGTTTGTCGCTCGGAAGAGATCCAGGTTTTCTAAATAAAGGGATGTATTCGGTAAAGCTTCCGACAATTCCAAGAACAGTGATCAAACCTAAAAGTGCGAGAGTGCTGATCCCTCCTGCTCCCCATGAAGCAGATTTTTGCTTATATGGGAACATGATTTGAACATCAAGTGGCATCTCTTCAGGCAACCCAAAATCTTTGGCCTTTTTAATCAAGAACTCTTTTAGTCCTGCAAAATCCTCAGGAGTACCACAAGTATTGGGAACACAGAGTCCAATAGTGAAAGAGAGCCCAGCCATGATCTTCATCATCACATACTCCGTTTGTTCGATATCTCGGCATAGCTCAGGATTTCCAAGCTCGTTCACAAATTTTCCAGAGAGAGAATACAAAATTTTTAAATATTGAGCTCCACCTGGAGAAAGTGCTGTCCTAACATGCTCCATACACATTGGATTTGGTTCATGGATACCATCTGGGATTGACTGAAATCCTTTGAGGCTATTGAAACCTATACATATTTTTTATTCTCAACCTTATTGAGAGAGCTTACCTGTCAACTTCTCTGAGATATGACCGTGCAATTCTGGATAAGAAGTTGGCATCGAGGGGTCCAATTCTTCTATAGGAATATCAGTTTGAAAGCATTTTAAAAAAGGTGCAAAATTTTATATCATTTCATAACTCTTTAGAAATAAATGGGTACTACTCTCCAAGTTTGGGTTTCATATCCCCGCCAGGTTTAAAACATCTCTATTCCTTTCTAAATGATGTTGGCAAGCTAACATAAAGAACTTACGTAGATCTATTGGGGAGTGAGCCTTTTCAGAATCTGATGAAGCACAGTTGCTTAACACCAAGAGTAAGATTAAGGCTAATATTATCCTCATTTTATTATTAATAATCAATTCCTATTCTTATATATGGGGTTTTGGGGTTTTGGGGTTTTGGGGTTTTGGGG